AATTGATAAGCGGTAGTTAGGTTTTTAGATATTTTAAAGGCGAATAAAAAGGATTTTAGTATTTTTATGTTGGCAAAGTTGGTCGGGTAAAAAAAGCAATTTCTTATGCGGGAATTTTATTTTTYCAATGTTGGCTAAACTGATCTCCCGAATTTTGATTTTGATGATATCTGCTGTTATCAAAATCGGGAAATCTGTACCAGCCCCGCTACGCTCCTCGGTGCCGTCGCTCCGCTCCGCTGATCGAAAATATCCCTCGACTTGCTGTTCAACACCACCTCAAGTTGGTCACGTGGTAACCACAGGGTAACCGCCGCATAATAACTCTTATCATATCACTCCGGAAGATCTGAGGTATCACCAAAAAAATCCACCTTGACCCGGGTATATAATATTCTAGACATGGCGTTTTTTTAATATCTATAATCCTGGTTTTTACCACGTGACAGGTATTGGTACTGATAACCGTGGTTCATACCGACTAATAATGATTGCAATACAATAAAATTCAATGCAAGTATATCTACTTTCTAGAGTAGGGGTCTGACCTCATCGTGGTCGGTACTTGGTGGTTGAGTCGCGCCGCTGCGACTAACCGAACCGTACGTTGTTTCAAGTTACACCCGCGACCCGCCACGACCGTTTCGCGTTTCTGCGCTTGCGCGTGAACGTCGGTGTGCGTGTTTAGTATAACACAATAACACATTACGCTCTGGCGCTCTGCAGTTCAAACTGACTGCACCGAGCGTATACCGGAGAACCGCATTCTTTGGCCGACCGCAGGAACGTTATATATATATATATAAGAAATTATTTTATTACGTCCGCTGCGCCACCCGTGTCGTCACCGTCCCGTCATCTGTTGTTGTTGTACTGCAGACATTTTTATCGGCTCATTAGTGTTATTGTTATTATTATTATTATTAATATTTTTTTTTTATTTATTACACATTTATCGGTTTGTTTGATACAGACCCGTGCGTTCCAAGTGCGACCATCACCCGAAAACCGTTAGATCGCGCAAACGGCCGTTGCGCGCGAGATGGCTTTTGAAACGCCGCAACAGGTGTCCGCTGCTGCCAGCCTTTGTGGTGAGACATATCAAAACAACCGACTCGGGTGTCGCGATTCCGACAGTGGGTAGGACGTGAAAAGTGTTGTACTTACGTGTGCGTGGTCGTCGAATCTTTTAATTTCGTCCGTTGTTCGTCACGATTGTTACCTTTTAGTGTAAGTTCGGTTTTTCGTCGTCCGACTGATTCGATTTTCCCGTACGCCCGATCCGCAATGGAAGAAGAGGAAAGAAATGACCGTCTACCTTACAGGCATAGGACCTATGCGCTCGCCGCCATAGTTGTCTTAGTTCTGTCAACCATCTCTGGTTGTGAATGTCGTAAGTGTAATACGCATTGTTCTTCCTACATTGACTTCATAAAAATCAAGTGGTCAAAGTTCATGTTGTTTTTTGTTCACAGAATCCTATCAGGCTCCTCGGTTCATAACGCAGCCAACGTCAACTAAAAACGTGATTGGTGAAGGACAGACAAAAATAATTCAATGTCAAGCTCTTGGTTAGTCATTAAATATTTTTTTTAGCAATAACTAATATAACATTAAATTTAACTATCTATTATGATTTGGTCTGGTTTGTTAGTACTTAAAAGCTACAGTCTAAGTAATGGCTTTTATTATCATTGTAAATTAACTTTATAAGTAGAAGTTGATGCACCATTCCCTCATTCCCCTTTTGTAGCTATGAAAACTAAAGTACAAAGTAAAAACCAACAAATTACTATGTATAATTTAACATAATATTTTCAATAAAGATCTCTTGGGTAGTTTAGAATACCTACCCATAGAATTATCCTTAGAACGACGTTTATGGTATTGTTAAAATTACTTAGGTAGGTATTTTCATTTTTATTTTTTGCCAATATAATATTTTTCTAATAACAGGTTAAAATGTTCAAATAAGTGTTAGATAATTAATTTAATTTTATTTGCAAAAATTTTAATTTGTTGAACTTGATGACCAAAAAAAAGTATTTCGTAGCCCTAATTTAATGTTGTTATCCTAAAAATCATACTCACAGACTCGACATTGTTGCATAGTTGCAAACCGTTGCATAAGATAAACTTTCGCTATTATTATTCCTCACCAGTTGTACACTTATAACTTATACCTATAATATATACTTGCACATTTAAAAAATATAACTTTCATGCAATACTATGCTATGTACCTATATTTTTATACAGGGTGATTCGTTTATCAAACAASACTCATTATTTATAAAAGTATTGACTTTTTTCAAAATATTGTTTTACATAGTTTCAAGTTGTTAAAAACCCAACGCTTTTATTAAAAAATTATATTTTTAAAT